ATGCTGGAGCAGGCTGCCCCGGCCCCCGCATCCTGTGAAGGGGGCGGGAGGTGGGAGCTGATGAGGCAGGTGGGAGGAGATAAGCGGTAAGAGCAGGCTTGTCCCTGCCTGGCCCCTCTGCCAGGACCCAAGGTCTCTAATAGATGCACTGGCCCAGGCGGGTGGGGAGGAGGAGGGGGCATAGGGGGTGTTGCCCGCACTTCCATTCCTCCTCCGCTCCTGCCACCCCACAGAGCTGAGGGCCCGGCCGAGCTGCCTGGCTCCTCTGCCAGAGTGGGTGGGCAGCTCCATCTGCCTGCCACACCACGCCAGCCCCTGAGGCCAAAGGGCCAGCTCATGACAGCACCTCCTCTTCAAAACCCATGATCCATCCTTGCTTACTGTGCGCTCCCTCCTGGGTCTGCCAGAGTTTCCAACTAAGGCAGATTCATGGCTGCTTACCCTCTTTCTAGCCATTGGGCCTGCATAGGATAACAGTCTGGCTCCCAGTCATAGACTCATAGAAAGTGAGGGTTGGGAGGATCATCTAGTCCCCAACTCAGGGGCAGACAATTATTTTGGGCGGAGGGCCGCTTACTGAGTTTTGGCAAGCCATTGAGGGCGGCATGACAGGCAGCCAGGGGCAGATAAATATTAATTTTCTAAATTTTTTAGGGGCCCCGCGGGCCGGATAGAATGGCCTGGCAGGCTGCATCTGGCCCACAGGCTGTATTTTGCCCACCCCTGCCCCAACTAGATCGTCTCAGCCAGGGCTTTGTCTACTGGGGTCTTAAAAGACTCCAAGGATGGAGAGTCCACAACTTCTTTGAGTAACCTGTTTACTATCTTCCTAACGAGAGTTTTTTCCTAATATCTAACCTACCCTTGCTGGAACTTGAAACATTGCTCCTTGTTCTCTCATCTGCCACCACTGAGAACAGTGTAGCTCCATCTTCTCTGTAACCACCCTTCAGGCAGCTGAAGGCTGCTATTAAATCCCCCCTCTGCTCAGTCTTCTCTTCTCCAGACTACATGAGCCCAACTCTCTGAGCCACAACTGTCAGCCAGTGGTTGTGGATGTTCTGTCTGTTTAAACAGTAAGGTCAAGGTCATACTGCCTGGCTGGATTTTGCTCTCTACTGAAGTGCCCCAGTGTGCTGCACAATACCCAAGCTTTGTCCTCTTGAAAAATAATCCTTTACAACAGCAGATTGCCCCTCTATTATTCTAGGTCAGTGGTTCTCAGCAGGGTTCAAATGACAGGTTGACTCTTGCTGGGTGGGCGGGGGGCTTTCTGCAAAAAAATTGGGCTGCCCGTCACGATGCCCTAATAAAATGGGAGACCCCCCCCCAGGTTAGGATTTTCAAATCTTACAGGGGAGATTTCATCTCTTATCGGGGGGTGGGCATCCCCCTCTAGCTTCCTTGTAATTTAAACCCTGGTTCTCAGCTCTTTTGGTAGACTGGAGTGTTATCAGGGGAGTGGGAATGCACCAGGCAGTTCTGCTATACACTTCCTATGCAGCAGCCAGTTGCATACCATCTCTCTGTTCTTCTGTTACCAGTTGGAATACAGCTGCTTATTTTGTGTATATAACCTCTTGACCTTGGACAAATAAAGTATACTTTCATCTTTACTTTTTGGCATTTTATAAGCAGAAAAAAACTGTTAGCGGTTATTATTATAGCTCCAAAGTGGTACAGTTGCATTGTTAACTGTTCACAGGCTTTGTTGCCATACATATCAGTAAAGATGTGCATTTACAAGACAGCACAACAAGTAAAATTAGACCTCCAGGGTCCACCCTCCTAGGCAGTGCACTTGAAAATAATTGTCTAGATACCTGTTTTCCCAAAAGATTCTATGACGAAGGAGCTGTGTACACTGTTTTGGGTATTGCATGATTGGCTGAGCTGCTTATGTGCCCAAGAGTTGTTTCAGAAGAAACTGTATGAGAGTGTGCAATATTAGCTCAGAACTGGAACATTCCTACACACAAGGTCATGAGTTTCTGTAATTTTAATCTCTGATGATAAAATGAAACTGTCAATATGCTCATGATGTTTGTGAATACTTGTGCAAACACCATTGTTGTTTGTGTTTTATTTTTGAGCCCTAAACCTAATGTCTCTCTTTGGTAAGTTATCCATGATTAGTGGAAGTCAGAAAAAAGTTTCTTTTAGTTTGATGCAGAGTATAAAGGTGGTTGTAATGAGGAAGACAATACTATAAAGACCAAAGATCAGATTCTATCATTGACTTACATACAGACATGGCACCCGTTTGTGTCCCCAAATGGAAACACACAAGCATTCTCAAGACAAGCATCATTATGCTATCATGTGTTGTGACTCAGAACTAATCTGAGAAAAACAGTGTCAGAAACCTTTCATTAACTTCAGTGAGAGCAAGATCTGGACCAAGATGTGAGCACAGTACAAATTATGACTGGGAGAACACAAATATTCTGCTGAGTGCTGTTTATAGAGACAAATATGAGTCCTTTAGCTATTCTTATGTTCTAATATTGCCATGGAATTTTTTTTTGTAACAAAGGTGCTTAAGCTTTTATCTCAGACTTTCCACTTGCTCTCTCAAATGGACTCAATTAAGGTCTTGCAACTAACATGGAATATTTAGTGCTTAGTAGATGATCCTTTACCACCTAAGGTTTTCCTTCCATTTGTTATTAGTGGTGTTGGTCAGAAAAGTCATTACTATGAGGATGGAGACATGGTCAATGCACCCGGTAGTTTTGCTGAATACATTCTTGATTAACTATATTGATTAGTCATATAATCTCTGTGTTCCTGTGTTACCCATAGATAAAATATGGATAAATATTCTTCCTTTATTTTATTTTATTACTTGTCCCATCTATTTCTGTTGGAAGTTGAGTACTGTCTCTTTGTCTGTAGATTCATAGAAGTAGGGTCAGAAGGGACCTTGTAGATCATCAAGTCCGACCCCCTGCCCTGGGCAGGAAAGAAAATCGGGCTCAAATGACCCCAGCCAGGTAGACGTCAAGCATCCTCTTAAAGACCCCCAGGGTAGGAGCCATCACCACTTCCCTTGGAAGTTGGTTCCAGATCCTAGCCGCCCTGACTGTGAAGTAGTGCCTTCAGATGTCTAGTATAAACCTACTCTCTAACAATTTGTGCCCGTTATTCCTTGTTACCCTGGGGGGCGCGAGGGGGAACAGGGTCTCCCCCAAATTCTGCTAGGTCCCCTCTAGTGAGTTTATAAACGGCCACCAGGTCCACCCTCAGCCTTCTCTTGCGAAGGCTGAATGGGTTAAGGTCCCGTAGCCTCTCCTCATAGGGTCTGCCCTGCTGTCCCTGGATCATGCAGGTGGCCCTCCTCTGAACCCTCTCAATGCTGTCCACATCCTTCCTGAAGTGCGGCGCCCAGAACTGAACACAGTATTCCAACTGTGGCCTGACCAGTGCCGCATAGAGGAGGAGGATCACCTCCTTGGCTCTGCTTGAGATGCATCTGTGGATGCAGGACAAGGTACAGTTAGCCCTACTGACCGTGTTCTCTCATTGTCAGCCCATGTTCATCTTGGAGTCAGTAATGACTCCAAGATCTTTCTGCCACCGTGCTCTTGAGAAGGGAGTTTCCCAGCTTGTAAGCGTGCTGCTGGTTTCTACTGCCCAAGTGCAGCACCCTGCACTTGTCAGTATTGAAACCCATCCTATTTTCGTTAGCCCACCCCTGTAACCTGTCCAGGTCCTGCTGTAATCTGTCCTTCCCTACTAGCGTGCCCACCTCACCCCAAATCTTGGTATCATCAGCAAATTTAAACAGGCTGCTTTTTAACCCGTTGCCCAAGTCACTAATAAAGAAATTGAACAGTGAGGGCCCAAGGACCGAGCCCTGGGGGAATCCACTACCCACTTCCTTCCAGGTCGAAAAAGACCCATCCACCACTACCCTCTGAGTACCACCCTTCAGCCAATTTGCAATCCATCTGACTGTGTAGGCATCAATGTCATAGTCATCTAGTTTTTTGATGAGAATGGTGGGAGACTGTGTCAAAGGCCTTGCTGAAGTTCAGAAAGACTTCATCCACCACGACACCTGTGTCCAGTGCTTTTGTGATCTGATCGTAGAAGGCAATCAGGTTGGTCTGGCAGGACCTGCCCCTAATGAAACCGTGCTGGTTGCCCTTGAGCATCATCCCTGCTGCTGGCCCATCACAGATGTACTCCTTGATGATCTTCTCAAAGAGTTTCCCCAGGATTGAAGTAAGACTAATGGGCCTATAGTTGCCTGGGTCCTCCCTCTTCCCTTTTTTTGAAGATGGGGACCACATTGGCTTTCTTCCAGTCATCTGGCACCTGGCCAGAGCACCACGAGTGCTCATAAAGCCGTGCCAGGGGCCCCACAATAACCCCTGCCAATTCCCTCAACACCCTGGGGTGGAGAGCATCTGGATCTGCTGATTTGAACACATCCAGTCCCTCCAGAAGCTCTGATGTATCTGCTGGGAGTCAGGAGCTCAGAAGTATCTGTAGAATACTTTTAGCTCAGATGTATCTGTAGAAAGCCTATTATAGGAAAGTCATCAATTTGGCTGGGATGACTAAGTTCCTTGCTAATAAAAGTTTAAAAGATGTGTGCTTTGATACAATACCAAAGCTCCAGCTGCAGTAATGACAGAAGTTCTATTTCTGTTACTTTCCAGTTTTCTTTGAAAAGATGATGCAATGCTGTGAAGAAAACAGAAATCAACCACTGTTAAAACTTTGGATAGGACCACTGCCTTGTGTGCTCTTATATCATCCTGATACTGTGGAGGTGAGTTAACTTACTCCTCTTTGAATCTGTGATTGTGGGCATATCTGGTGATGTTACTAAACATGAGTCGGTCCATAATTGGAAGTTTGGAAATTGGAAATTTATGTTGTTTAATCTGTAGAGTGCATAGTTAACATTGAAAAAATCTGGTTAGATAGCACTGTGGAAGAAGGGAAAAATGGAGTTGAATCTCCATTATCTGTAAGAATAAATAAAAAAAAACCCATATACCCAGCTTGGCTATGAGGAAGTCAAAAGGGCATGACCCAGAACTGCAAGACTAACACAAGACTGGGACCATCCTGCCCTGGTCTAATAAAAAACAAAAGCTTAGCACAAAAATAACCACAAACCAGCCTGCTGAGTCAGCCCAAAATGGGAAGTGAACCCTAAGGTTGCTAGCTAGACAAGAGATAGAAAAAATTTTGCTAACATAATCATAAAATAAGACATACGCTTTACTAACAAAGTCATGGCAAATGCTGATTGGTTATATCATAGCTATGCTTATGATGTCATATTTTCTATATGAACTCACCTCGCCTGTTGTACGAGGTCAGACCTCTTCACAATTCTCCAGTTGTGTATGAGTCTGTCCAGAATGCATTTTCTAATAAACCAAGCTTCTGCTGACTTGTCCTAAAGTTTGCTGCGTGTGTTTACAACGACAGCACTGTTACCAGTGACTAAACCTGCTAGTTGGGGTGAGATTTTACACTTCATGCTGGTCACTCCCTGTGTTCAGGTGTATTGATAAACTATCCAGTGGGCGCGTCTACAGGCCTATTGCGCGGTTGACTAATTAGCTGCACAGTTAACATCTCGGCGTCTACACATGTACCCCTATTAGGCTGGAATAAACAAATTTATGGAGTAAAAAACTAGTAGTGCATGTGTAGATGCTGGAAGGGCTGGCTGGGGCATGATGGTGCTTCATTGTGGGGCTGCCTGCCAGCTAGCTCCACACTGAAACTCCCTTGTGTCCTAGCCACCCCTCCGCAGCATATTGAGCTGGGGGGAACAGCCCTGGGCTAGCAGGCTGACCCCCAGGGCCCCCTGCCAGCAGGTGCTGTTCCAACCCAGCTCACCATGCTATACATGGATAAACTCTGCAGCTTTTGCGCCGGAGTTTATTGCTCCCAGGCTTACACTCAAATGGTGTGCCTGGGAGCAATAAACTGGAGTTTATTCTTGTGCCCCCCCATTCTACACCGTACGGGAAGCACATGCGTAGATTTCCCCGCTATGTTGCCATAGCTGTGCACTATAAATGGGCAGCGTGCCATTACAGAAACAGCTAGTGATCACATGTAGACGCATGTGATCATTACATCACCATAGCTTGCTGTATGGCAATGTAGTGCATCGCTATGTCGCTGTATGGCAATGTGTAGACACATCCAGTAAAACTGAGGAACAGTGTCCTGTTGGATTTGCAGGTTGATGGAGCATGCAGGGTAGTCCTAAATGGTTTTTGTTTCTTTGGGAATAAATGTAAATCTTGATTCTCTGTTTTTAGGCACCAAGTTATGGATCAGGCCCCACTATGTTAGGAAATGTACAAGCACAGAATAAAAAGATGGCTCATCCCCCAGAAAACACATGATTTTTTATTAGACACAGATAGACAAATAAGCAAGAATATAACAAGACAATATTAGTTGAGGTGATAGGTAGTAATCCTACATCTTCTAAAAATTATTCCTCCCCCAATCTTTTTCTCTACTGGCAGGTTATTTTGAACAGTTTGAAGAATATAGACAAATCCTATACTTACAAATTTCTACATCCATGGCTTGGCACAGGACTTCTAACAAGGTATTCCAAAGTTATGTGTAGTTCGATACTTAAGTTTATAATACATCTTATATGGTTAATGTAAACTATAATGTCTTAGATCTTTTTCTTTGCAAATGAGGAGCATAATAGACTAATTTTGAGTATCTGTATTATAACCTATGCAGGTATTAACTCACATTTCCTTCAGTATAGCTCTTCTCAGGACATGGAAAAGAATGAGAGTTCATGCTTTGCAAGGGATACAGGTAGGACTTTATGAGGCCATGCTTGCAAGTACAGAACTCAAGTTTTCACAGATATCAACTACTTTTAACTATTCAAAGAAGACTATCTTCCAAGTATAGCTCTTCAAAATGTAATACAAATCCAAATGGCACTTACAGTCTTATTTATCTAGACATCAGCTATGATCATCCCCAACTCCATGTACCTCAAGGAGCAAAACTTGGCATACTGCACAGTTTGTATACACACTTCTGCCTTGAACAGTGGAAGTAATTCACAGCTATACTCCTAGGACAGATACCACTGAAAAGCACTAGACAGACTTCCAAACCACACATTTTAATATATTTTATCAGTGAGAGTTCATAGCCAGACTGAATATAGTCTATGCGCATTGAGTATTGCAAATCAATAGGAAGAGACTGGTTTATAATTACTACAAAGCAGAGTGCAAAGTACATTTGTGCAAAGAACAGGACCAGGCCCACATATGGCTTGCAGCGCAACATGAGGCATGCCTCCTACCACTAGGTAGCTAACACCAGTACATAGGAAAAACACCAGTTTCTGAAAAGTGCATACATTCATAGACTGTGATGGGCCAGTATGTTCTAACATTGACACATTCTATTTCATAAATAAGCTTATTCACTTATAACTGCGAGACAAATTCACTTATTTCCATCAAATTCGGTGTATTTAGCTCAATGAGGTATATTTAGGTATATTTGTCCATATGCGGCATAAATGAACCTTACCTACAGCAGGTACTTGCAAGGTATTTAAAAGTACCATATCGATTCAAATGTATGACAGCCCTGATTACAAGATGAGTCCCAATGACTAGATTTTACATTTGGGAACTTAAGAATTTTTCAGGAATAGAAGCTAATTATATCAGTTTGCCTTGAATTTGCCCTCTTCCACTGGTACAGAAGGGAAAATAAACTTGGAGGACTCTGCTTGCCCCCAGTTTTGTACTTACCTAACCTCCTTACTGTCAAACCCTGCCCTCCCTGAGAACATGGAAATGAGAAGCAAATTTGAAAACACTGACCTTGAAAATTAAACATAGCTATAGTAATTTGAACACAGTACCCATAGACTTAGTTCATCCAGAATTGATGAATATTACCTTTATTGAAGTGCTGCATAGTTTATTGAGCTGGGCCCCACCAGATTGAACAGTGTTTGAAAGCATGGTGATGCCATTAAGCATTGCTGACCTGTATGTGTATGTACTCTAGATACCAGCTGCTACCCCCCCTCCCCAGGATCCACATGCTAATTAGCTGCCCACTTATAGAATCATAGAAAGTTAGGGGTGAAAGGGACCTCATCTAGTCCAACTCCTTGCTCAAAGCAGGACCCTCCTCAAGTAGATCATTCCAGCCAAAGCTTTGTCTAGCTGGGTTTTGAAAACCTCCATGGATGGAGCTTCCACCACCTCTCTGGGTAACCTGTTCCAGTTCCAGTGTTTTACTACCCTCCTAGTGAGAAAATTATTCCTAATATATAACCTAACATAACCGTCCCTTGTTGCAAGTTGAGACTGTTGCTCCTTGTTTTGTCATCTGCCACCCCTGAGAACAGCCTAGCTCCATTTTCTTTTGAACCCCCTTCAGGTAGTTGAAGGCTACTATTAAGTCCCCTCTCAGTCTCTTCTTCATTAAACTAAATAAGCCCAGTTACCTCAGTCTTTCCTCATAAGTCATGTCCAGTGGCAGTGCATAGGGGGTGCACGTGTCAGACTGCACTCCCCGCTTAGGCGATGGGCAGGGGGGAGCACTGGTGCCCCCCCTGTGAGCATCAGCCGGAATGAAGCAGTGATTGAAGCAGCTGCAGCTGCTTCTGGGAGCTCCGCAGCCACTTTCAGGTGTGTGCGATCAGTTGCAGGGGACCCCACCCCCCTCCCCAGTAGCTGACTGGTCACCAGGGGGGCGTGTGCCCCCCCCAACTCAGATGGTACCAGTCACCCATGAATCCTAGCTCTACCTTCCAGCGTATCTATTACTTCCCACAGCTTGTGTCATCTGCAGATTTTCTGAGGGTGCACTCTCTGTCATCTTCCAAGTTGTTGATAAAAACATTGAACAAAACCAGCCCCAGGACCGACCCCTGGGGCACTCAACTTGATACCAGCTGTCAACTAGCTATCAAGCCATTGATTACTGCTCTCTGAGTAGTTGCTACCATTTGGCTAATTTAGATGGGCTACATTAACCTATTCTAGGTGCCAATACTTTTGTGGCAATGAGGGACTGCTTTCACACCTTTCCCTTAGTTGCTCCTCAGCCTTTCGGCTAAGAGCAAGTAAGACTAGGGGGGGCATCTGAACTCCAAGTCTTTCATCAGGCCTGAGGCCTGTACGTAGGATGCCACCCCCAAAAAAGTAGGTTTGTACATTTCTGGCACTAGGGAAGGATGTCAGAACTTGCTCTGGTCTTTCTAAGTGCTGGCCTAGTATTGTACTTCCAAGCCCAGTGCTTGTTCCCTCCTGGGGGAACAGCCGCCCTTTTTTTTTTTTTTTTAAGGGCTGTGCACAAAAAATAAAAGGTTTCCATTAGCATCTTTGCCCAATATGGGCAATGTGTTTTATAGTTGTGCTCAGTGTTGGCTGCGTTTAATCAGGTTCATAGTTGGTCTACATTACTGAGCACATGCTGCTTTTGGCAGCAGTTTAATGATAGTGTATTTAATGAGGTTTCCTTGTAATCGAATGTAAGACGAGTGACTTTTTCCTGCCCATGCTGATGGGGGGGGAGGGGGGGAGGGCACCTCATCTTGTACTTGAATAAATATGGTAATTATTAGGGCTGTGTGAAACGGCACTGTTCCGTTTCAACTTGAGTTTCGAGGTTACGACAGAACAGTGTTTCGTTTTGAATTTCATTTAAATTTGAAACAGCTGTTCCATTTTGCTTCGTCGAAACAGTGAGGCTGGTTCGATGCTGTTTTGACATTTGGCCCATTAGCTATAATGGGAAAGCTCGAAACAGTCTCTCTCATTTGGTAGACAGACTGGGGCTGTAGGCTCCCTATGTGCCTGCCAGATGAGGGAGGGAAGCCGGTGCTGCCGCCTGGGACTGGGGAAAGGAATTGAGCCCAATTGCTCAGTCCCCGTCCCCCGCGCTAGATCTGGCTGGGGATGGGAAGTCAGCTCAGCTGCTAGACCTGGGCTCACTTCCCATCCCCAGCCCAATCATTGGGCTGGGGAGGAGAACTGAGCGATCAGGCTCAGTTCCTTTCCCCAGCCTGATCACAGTGCTTGGGAGGGGAACTGAGCCCTCTGTGCTGTGATCAGCTTCCTGCAGCCGGGTGGCGGGAGATGGGGAGAGCCAGGGCTGTGCTCCTGGCTGCTGCTGGGAGCGCAGCCCTAGTTCTCCCCCGTCTCCCACCACCTCGCTGCTGGCTGCTTCGAAACTCGAAATGTTTCGAAACTTTCAAAACTTTTTGACTAGTCTCATTTTGTTTTGAGGCTGTTTCGAAGCCCTTCTTTTCGATTCGATTTCACTGTTTTGAGCTCGAAATGAGTCGAAACAGTGTCAAATCAAAACAGCCGACGAAATTTTGCACAGCCCTAGTAATTATGTGTCGATAGCAAAATTAATAGTCTATGTTCTCAAGTGGATATTCCAACTGCAGGGGAAGAGGGACCATATGAAATAACCATAGAACACAGAATCTTAAACCAGACGCTGTTTACACCTTGAAAATGTGCAACCTCAGTTCAGGTGTATAATAATAGTTATTGCTCATGTATGACTTGATTATAAATGAATACATGTTGTTGTGCCTAGTTTACAGATTGGGAAGCCAAAGGAAACTATAGTGATTCCCACAAAAGTCATAATAAGAGACTGTTCCTTCAGCATATATGATTAATATGCGCAATTCACAAATACAATCCCCCCCTTCATCATTTGTATAGCTTATAAGCAAAGGCAGCTACGACTATGACTTTGACCATTAGTGTTTGAAAACTTCCTTTTCACTTACCAGCAGTGACAAATCTGTGATTAGAACCCATCTCTCTTGACTCTTGGTCCAAAATTAGCTCTGCTGAATCCTGTACAGTTGCTGGGGCACAGAACAGATCAAATTTTATTTTAGCTCATTCTCAACTCCTGAGGCACAGTATAACTTTTTTGCATAGTCATCAGAAGTCTACACAACATGCTTCTTCTCACTTGCTTTATCTGTGGCCCAGTGAAATTTGAGCTCTTGACTGTCTAGTGGCCCAGTTTCCATGGGGAAGAGATGGTGTCCCTAATTATCCTGCCTGTAGTCTGGTGATTAGGATATTCTTCTGAGGTATAGGTGGTCTAGAACCTAGATTTCCTTGTTCTTAGGTAAGTTCTTTTCCAAGTAGGATATTAAGTAAAGGTGAGTACCTTATCCCGCCTGCTTCCACTTCCTGCCCATAAGGGGGAAAAAAAAAGTGTAAGTCAATTTTCACTTGTCTTGCCACCACATTTCCCACCTCTGAGGGCTGGATCCAGAGCATGGAGCAGTGTTAACTAGCCTGTGGGGCTACCTAAAGAGCTGGAAATTTGGCAGCAGGATGAGCAGTGGTGACATTAATTTCTGCGGTTCCTGGAGCTGTCAATTGCTGCTTATTTCACTGCCAAATTTCTGAAAACGGGCAGTCCTGTGGGGCAGTTGACACAACTCCACACTCCTTATCTGGCCTACAGGGCTGTCTGGAGTCAGAAACTTGGCAGTGAGACAAATAGTAATTGCCATTGCTTTGGGAGCCTTGGCAATTAATGCTGCCACCACTTGTCCCACTGCCAAATTTCCAGCCCTGCAGGCAGGATGGCATGGTTCTGCAGTCCATAACTTTGACATTCCTG